CTTACCTCTTTGAGCACTTAAATCTCAGAAAGATTGAGCAACTATTCACAGTGAAAAATATCCAAACAACTCCTTATACCATCCAGTCTTTCTTCTCCGTACGTGCAGTGAACAGTTATCATTATGAATTGAGTATAAAGATATTGATGATGCATTTTTGAGTCGTGAAAACGACAATAAATTGCGATGTGATCGTTTTCTTGTTGATTTAGCAATTCCAATAGTGCGTGCTAACACGCACAAATCATCGATTGCCAACCGAATTTATGACATTCATGTATAAAGAATGCGAAAAAGTACGAATTTTTCAATCGAACGAAAACTGTAACGTTTATTAGTGTTCAAATAAATGAATATGAGCAAGGCTTTAAACTCTTACGTCGAGCAACTTTCGCGATTGGATAAGTGAGATACCATCAGAAAAACAACATCGTCGATCGACAATAATATTAAAGATTTTAGTTAACCGTTCTAATACTCATACTCATAAAACTCGATTTAATCAGTCAAATAGGAGAAAGTAGAATGTGTTTTTACTGTGATATCACAAAAACGTTTGTTCTATTGTGTTATATAAACAACTCCGTCTCAACTGAGTATAAATTCTAAATTATCAACACAGTCTCTCGCTCACTCTGGGATTGTTCTTTCGAAAACGTACAACGTTTACATCGACTTTATCTCAACAGTTAGAAAGTAACAGGACTAGCACAACTCGAGCTCCTGATGACGAATATCACGTTTAAAACATTTTAAAACAACGGCATCGTGGCCTTCCAGGCCTGTGGAGATTCCATTTACCAGCAGAACAAACGTTTTCTAGATATTTTCATCATTTTTTAGCGAAACACTCATATAGATACGTAATATTTCCTCGACCATAGATGGCGTATACAAACATTCGAGTTAACGTTTCGCCAGAGATAGGGAAGGTACAACATTCGTCCCGAGATCTTTTAACTGTGAAGTATATAAAGTATTGTGTTGAATAACTGAATATATCTTTTAGTGTTTTACTCTTTTTAGTCATTTTGTAAGGTACAAGTTGCGGTCAATTACACGTCCACTATATAAAGACTAGGAGAAGTCAAAGACTACTAAAGGGACACTATAAGATCTAACCGTCTAACAAGAATAAAAAAAGTAAAATGAGAGGATAGGCAGATTATAAGATATCCAGAAAGATGTGAAGTATAGTATTGAACATTGGATTTTAGAAATGCAAAAGTGATATTAGGCAAGTAAGAACGATCCCGGAGCAAACTGTGGACAATTTACAACCTTTTGTTCACCATTCTTTGAGTCGATGTTTCGTGAAATTGGACTATTCATTAACGTTGTATCATGACAACGATTTTGAATGGATCAAAAAAAATTGGGGATTTTGAGCTGAACAAATCTTAATGTAGAGGAAAATCTGGACTACAAAATGAGACCGCTCCCAGCATTCAACGGCCTTCCTTGAAAATATTATGAATTTTTAAGTTTTTCTTTCAAAGCCAGAAAACTCTCTTCTCTCTCTCTCTCTTATTTTGTAGTTTCATAAACTTTTCTCTTTTTTCCTGTACATTCAAAAGTTTTTCTTATACATAGTCTGATTGAAGAAAGTGTTCTCTTCATAATGAGAAAAATTTTTCGATAATTTAAGATTAAAAAATCTGGATTTTAAGATGTTTTTCAGTGTTTTTGCTATAACTTGTACAGAAAAGATGATAGAACGATGAAAAAATCTACACCTGGACAATGTTGTCTAGTATTTATGATAAAGTTTTGAAGTCGATCGGGCCAAGTTATCAGGAGTGGGTAATGGAACGATATCAAAAACCAAGCTTTCTAAAAAATTTTGAAATTGTTAAAAGCCAACACAAGTTTGTATAGGTTCCTCTGTTACACTTCTCTTTCTCGTTTTACTGTTCAAGTGCGCTTAAAACAATAGATATTGTCCAAAAGATTGAGAGTTCTTCAGTATAAAGTCATTTAAGACAATCATGTAGCGTAAGTGTGAACATATTATCTGTGTCAATTTCTCGATTACGAGAAGAATTTTATTTTACCGACAAAAACATATATAGGATGATAGAGAAATGGTGCACAACAAACAAGTATACAGATACATAGAGAGATAGAACAGATAAACATAAAAAATGGGATGAAACAAATAAGTCAAAGACACGTCCACAAATACAGAAAAAAAAATCAAATGTTTATTTTATAATACAAGAAACCAAACAAACAAATAGAGAGACAGGTACAGAATAGAAACAATGAGATGAGAAATATTCGAATGTAGCGGAAAAGACAGGCACATTTTTAAAGAAAACAGATGTGTGCATTTGTAATTGAAGTTTAATTTCATCAAATAAAAAGAAAAGTTCATACTTACAGCAACGCAGAAAAACAATATTAAGAACAAAACAAGATGAGGAGAGAGAAATGTTTCTCTGTTAAACCAAAGGGCATGACACACCAACACAAAAATCATATGAATATAAAGATGACGAACAAGTACCAATGTTGTACAAACTAAATTGAAACCAATCGCCGATCTAAACAAAAATCGATAAATTACATAGTTCTAATAAATATACAAATTTAGCTAAAATATATAAAAATAACTGAGGAAGAATAAATGGGTCAATTCTTTTTTTAAGATTAACTTACTTTTATATGCCTTATCGCCTCAAACTGTGTAAGCGTGTGAATGAATTAAATATCAAACGCAATGGTAAATGGGCTAAAACACCATATATAAGAGACATTTCCGTAAAACAATTCACCAAACAAATCTCATTACATATCAGCGTTTCAAACAAAACAAAAAAACTCACATTACACTCGAACACTGAATTAATAAAATCAAAAAGTCAAGGAAAAAATGATAAAACATTGTGAACGTAATAATGAAACGTATTTTCCTTATAAAACATAGATAACAAAGAATTATAAATATTCTAGATTCTTAGCACATGTGAAACGATCGAACCTATTTGAGAAAAAAATATTTTTTCACAAAAAATCTCGCAAAATAAATCAGCTAAATGAAACATGAAGAAATTTAGATTAATCAATGATTTTTATAAATGATGTTAAAAAAAATAAGAGTAACATTTCAAGAATATTGTGCTACCATTGTCTATTTTTAGAAACACGTTTTTGAACTCATAAAACAAAATAAAAAAATATGATATTTGATGAAAAATTTTCTCTTGTACTAACAAAATAATTTTAAAAAATCAGTAGAATTATTTATTGTTAATTTAAAACAGAACAACATAAAATGAAATGAAAATATTATATCATTTTGACACAACATATAAGCCATAAAGTTTTGGTTTTAGACTTTCATGACAGGACCTAAATCAAACTACAAGGCTTATATTTGCGAATGAAGAGCTGTAAAAAACAACAACAGATGAAAGCGAATTCTTTTCGCTAGACTCATGATGAAAAACAGAATAAAAAGTTTAATAATAAAAAACAAATGTTCACCGAATGGGTAATAAATGAGATTTTTTTCAATTTCAATAAAAAAAAACTTATAATCCAAGAAACTAGATTCTTATGAAGTTCTTGTAACTAGTAAGAGTTCCATCTCTGATGGTTTATTTAAATAAATAATAATAAACGCAACAATAAACAAAAATAAATCTCACATAAGCGCACATGCATAGTGATATGTCATTTAACATTCAAACATATTCTTTACTATCTGAATTATTTATTATCTGACTTTAATTCTAATTCAAATATACCAAATACAAAAATAAAAAATCCAACTTAAATGAGATGTAGAGAAAAAACTTTTCTGAACATACTCAATTAGTTTGATCAATACTGTTCGATATAAAGAAATTATAAAGAATAGAAAAAAGTATTTAAAAAATTTGAGCAAATAAGTGCTGAATATGCACACGTTTTTTTCTTTTCTTCTTCTAATGATAGCAAACGAGTTTAAGATGAGCATAAAAAAGTTAATAATAGACTTAATAAAAAAAAAGTAACCCATTTCAATGTACAAAAATCTTTCTATGATATCTGCACAATTTCTTAGACGATAAGAAAATCAATAAGATTTTAGATGAAAAAATAAAAGATTTTGAAAGACTTTAAAAAATAGATGAAATAACGAAAATCAGACAACAAAAAATAACTTTTTATAATAGAATAGAAATTATTTACTAACTACTTATAGTAGTAATTCGTAAAATTTAATCAAAAAATAGTGTACGATAACTAAAAATAATGGCGCTTTAGAACTGTTAAAAAATTTAAAACGTTTGAAAAACAACTAATTTGGTTGTATGATATTTAAAAACAAAAAATTAAGAACTTACTAAATTTCGTTCAAGCAATGAGATATCATTCAAATACATGATTACATAGTAATGATGTTTCTAAAGATTTACACTAAACTGCTAAAGATCTCTTTTGCAATTAGAAAGATTTGATAAACAAAATATAAAAAAATTTATACTATTGGCAATCTTATCGGATAATAAAACGGAATAAGTAATCACTCATTCTTCACAATCACTCAAAAATTATGATTAAAAAAATGATTCTTTTTCCTCGTTTACTTAGCTTCATGGAATTAAAATCAATTCCTTCTATTTATCCTATTCATTTACTAATGCTTGTTCTCAAGCACAAAAAAACCATATTTAAAGTAATTATTTCTAACGATTCACAAAATAATAAACAAATCTAAAACTAGACATTTCCTACATTGTAGGTACATAATAGATCAAACGAAGCTGTCAAATTGACAAATAGGAAAAAAAACATTTGGGAACTCTCATCGATAAACACCTTCGTAGCAAAACATTTAAAAAGCATATACACAAACAAACAAAAGAAAAACAATATGTACAATTCATTTTTTATTTGCTTACCATACTCTTTAGATTTTTTCTAATAGAAAACAAAGGTGTGTATATGTGTGAATATAAAAAAAATATCTTCTCCTTCTCGTTTGTTTGTGTTATTTATTCATTCATTCTTCATCTTCTTCTATGTTCACGACTATATTTTGCATCATAGTCTTCTCGTCGATATTCTCGATCTCTTGGACTACGTGTTCGATGACGATGTTTTTTTCTTGATGATTCACGTGGTGAATCGTGTGAACGACTTCTATGTCGTGCCCTATAGAATGAGAAAACAAAAAAGTAAATAATAGTAGATTATACTGAATTTATTCAATTTACTAACCTTTGTCCATATGATTTATCTTCAATTCCTTTTAATGTATCTTGTAATGAACTAATTAAAATTTTACAGCGATCATCATTGGCAATTTTCGATTGTTTAATCAATGATACAGCTGTCACCAATGTTTCTATTGCTGTGCCAAACTCACCTTAAAAATTAACATATACTTTCAGTAAAATCGTTAATAAAAATAGAACTCATACCCGCTGAAGCATCTTGAACAGCACGAGCTATTGCACTACTTGACACGGTTTTGTTTCGTTCCATTATTTCTTGAAATTCTGTTTCACTGATACTAATACCAGGCATATTTGGATCATGACGTTCAGCTGCGGCAGCCACTGCTCGATAGTACGGGTCATGCACATGAGGTTGACCTGGATGAGGTAGTGAGTGATGTAAAGGCTAAAACAAAAAAATAGTCTAAACATAATTTTCCTACGATGAGATAAAGGGTGATCCAGAAGTCCTGTCTCGATTTGAACAATAAATATTGTTAAATTGAGCCAGGACTTCTGAGGCACCCTTTACGTGATGAGGGATAAACTTACCGCTCCTACAGCTGGATTTTGACCAGGGTAATAACCCTGTGGATGATGAGATATACCGGTCATTGAATTGGACGGAACAGGTACACCTAAAAGCAAATCTTTTTATATAAATATTACGTTCATATGAATTAGGAGTAATTCCATTTTTACCTGGTTGAGGTCTACCATCCCATTCGCGTTGAGTTCGTTCTGATTGTTGTGGCATGGGTATACCCTGAGGACGAAGAGCAGCTTGCAGCTGAGGTCTTGGAACGGGTAAAGGTGGTCCGTTTGCTCCTTGTTCTGTAGACGGTAAGCCCGGTCTTTGTATTTGCTGTTGTTGTTGTTGTTGTTGCTGCTGTTGTTGAGCTTGTTGCTGTTGCATAATGACTACTTGTTGATGAGTCGGCGGAGCACCACCCTGTTGTGGATTTGGAATAGGCATGCCTTGTCTTCCAACAAGCATTTGTTGTGGTGGGCGTACTTGATGAGGAAGCTGCATTGGTGGTCTTAAACCGGGTTGAGGAGGTAGACCGACTCCCATGGGTGGTCCTTGAGGATGAAAACGATATGGTTCTCCCATCGGTCTCGGCATGGGCAATGGTAAACCGTGAATTGGTGGTCGTATCATAGGTGGTCGAACTAAAAACTCTAGTAGAATGAAAAGAAACCTAATTTATTAGTGAACACGAGAAAAATAATAAAACTTACGAGGCGGAGTCATTGAAGACAGTCCTTCTATTGGTTGGTCTTTATGGTTTTGTCCCTCGAAAAAACTTAATGATTGTTTATTGCATGGTAAAACTGTTGGATTTTGACCATGTATATCTTTTTTCGGTAATTTCTCTCCAATAATCCGAGATGAATTTTCAGAGCCAACTGTCACCACTGCAAAGCTATAAGAGAAAACGAAACTTATAGCTACTAATTATCTGGTTTCAACAAATAGTTACCCTTTCGATTGACCATTAACACGATTTTCATGAAATTTGATTTCAAGTAGATCATTGATTCCGAGTAATTGAATTATATCGCTTAAATCTTGATCTGTTGTCCACTACAAATATATACATTACGCTCAAAATGATCGAAAAAGATTTCTCATATTTTTTGCTTACCCAAGTGAGTTGACCAACATATAACGAAACTCGTTTTCCAGTGTAACTACTAGGTGCACCAGCTGGCATATCAATTGGTGTTTTATTGATACGATTTGGTGTATTTGTTATGTCATTAAAATCAACCCCTGATGGCTGCGCTGTGATAACTGCATCATATAAATCTCCATCTTGCTGCTGAAGATCCTCCTGTCCATATTCTTCACCTGGTTCCTTAAATAGAATTTGTCTAGTCATTGGGAACAAATAACTTTTATGGAGTTTGGAAGGGAAGTAAAAAGCATCTTGGGTACTTTGGTTTTTTCTCGCATATCACACGTAAAACAAAACACGGATTGAAATTTCAGAGCATTATCAAAGGCACACAAATCTTAACTTGCGCAAATGGTACTCATCAAACAACTATTCTCAGTCAGGTATATTAAGTTTACATAACATAGTATACACCAACAGACTTCATCTTACGAAATTTGCATTAATATTACAAAAAAAGTTAGCTAAACTTGTCAGAAAATGATACATACTTGCTCTAGATCGTTTTCCACAACATCGGCATATAAATCAATTTCAGTATCATTTCCAGCAATATCGCCTTCCATTTCTTTCATAAAACAATCGAATATTTTTGATAGTAATCAGTATTTTTTATTCAATTTGAGCGAAACAAATGAAAAAAAAATCTAAAAGCTAAAAAAACCATCAATTCCTCATCACCATGTAATATCTCTTTATGCGTCGCCATTTTTTTTAAGCCACTGTTTTCAATATCACTACCTCTCAACGGAGAACTTGGAAGTGTAAGATTAAAACTCGGAATGAAAACGTATTAAAAATAATTTATAAGATATGTTTTACGACCGAAAATATTACATACAAAAGCATTTTAATATCAGAAATTGTTTTTTTTCTGTAACAGATGGCGTCTTTACACAATTGCTTGCCACTAAATATCGATAATGTATAGAAAAACAGAAACACATGGCAGGTATGTACATTGGAAGTTTGTGGCTGGAAACTATAGGCGATTAGAACTCAAAGGAAAAAATTCTGTAGTTTCAGTTCTGACGAAGGTGTTTTGTTTTTTCAATAAGGCAAGATACGCAAAGTTTGCAAGTCGTACATAAAGTGAGAGGAGAAATGGTAGCCAAAGAAAAATTAATTTAGTTTAATAAGAAAAAGTCACTTTTTTATTTCATTTCTGTGTGTTCAAGTGTTGAGTAGCTCAATAAGTGATACCTTCTTCGTTCCACTTTACTCATAAAGTTGCCAGATGTCTACATTCATTGCACAAGAAGATGTAGATGAATAACTGAATTTTGTTCAAATTCTGTCAGTTACTTATGTATAACTGTCATGATTGATAAATATAATTTTTGATTCATAATTATTTTTCGACACTTTCCATATTTATTCATAGCATGACATCAGGCATTTTGTGTAGCGAAACGTGGTTTTTGTCTCTTATTTGGTTGTCTATATTTGATCTGATCTTTTTTCACGTACGTGCATACTTGCGTGTAAAGTAATAAGCTTAATTATTAAAGATCACTCATTATTATACTCTTTAGAAACATATCTTTCCAACTAACAATAGCTTTCTGTTCATCTACGTTAAAGAAACACATGTATTTAACTATATATCAACGTATATATATATATATATAAAACTAACAATGCCTTTTCTAAATATAATTCGGAAAACTCTAATTTCAAAACAGTTCATTTTACAACTCTGACACCGCAGATGGAAAATTTCGTAAAAGAATACTAAGTAGGTAGAAAACACCAACTGAATAGCGATTAAAAGTTTGATGATTGTATTCTATAAAAGGTATATTCATTTTTAACCAATGTAAAGGAAATGAGTAATGTTCAAGCGCACTTGAAGCAATATTTCATGAAAAACAGATACGTTTCTATCCAGTTGTCACTAAGAGCTAATGTTTTTACGAAGAAAAACAACTTCAACTCTTGGAAATAGATTAATTATATAAAATGTGTAAACTATTAATTTTTTAATTTCAATCAAACAATTTGAAAAAATAAAATGTTCGTGCTAGTGGGAAAAAAGAACGACGATTAATCTAAGCAAAGAAAATTGTAGATAATGTAGACGAGTTTTCTTTTGATTGAAAATCAAGGTCAAAACTAAAAAATAGGACTTGGACAATCAGAATTACAAATAACAAGAGAATATGCATTTCTCAAATAATCGAAAAAGTTATTCGTGTTTTTTTTTTCTTTACTCAACCTAGGACAGCTTTCTTTTTATCAATTTTTCACTACAGTGGAGAGAAGTCTTGTTTCATAGTGTAGACCATATTTATCATATTATGACATTAGTCATCTCAATCACAATGAGAATTCTTACAAACTAGTGAAAGTGTATAGACAACAGCTAATAAAACTTCAACCGTTATATTGCATGTTGTCTCTCTTGGATAATCTTTAGCTCTCTATGTCGTGTTTAAAACATTTCGTGCTATCTAATGTATTTTCTGTTATAATTACTATACCTATATTTTTCTTCTTTGTTTTTATTTCGTGCTTTTATTTGTACAAAGAAAAATCTTATGTGTATATCGCACATACAAATATTCTATTTTAGCTGTTTTTTTGAGTGCTTGTATGTAGGATATTAAAAGAAAAAAAGACTTCGCCTACCGCGAATTTCTTCTTTTTTTTTTTAAGGTACTCGAGATAAAAGTATATTGTTTGCATGTCAATAGATGTCATGCAATAGAACTTTTAAAAAAAAATGAAATTTATTTTTAATAAATTACTTTGGATACCGTTTGAATCTTTAAATGTATTTAATGTACACATCTATGTTATAGCAAAAAGCACTAGAAAAAAATAAAAAAGAAGAAGAAGAAGCGAATAATAATAATTTATCAGAAATATTATTTTGTGATGTTAGCGTGACTCTAATATTAATTGATTTTTTGCATGTTCAGCCAATAATGCATTCATGCAACAGTGCTACTTCTAGAAATATGATGTAAAAAGAATTATTCGAAAAAGCTTTTTAAATATATTTTTCATCTTTTAAAAGATGGTTTATAATCGAAAAGATTTAGATGATGATAAATAACAAATCAGACAATATTTCAAAGGATTAGTATATGAGTCATACAGTTTTCACTTCTTTAATGAGTGAATATTATTATAATCTATGAACAGATATTAAGACATCAATTTTAATAAGTTGTTAGAAATAAATGTAGTGAATTTAAATAGAATTAAGTCAAATGCAAATCGAATATCATTTTTCTGAAAATTTTTAATTAAGATCACTTTTTTTGATAAAATGTGTAACATAAAAAATTAACGTCAAAGAAACATCTCAGGGCTGGAAGTGCAACATGAGAGTGAATGAAAAATAGTGATCTCAGCTAAGAATGAGCCCATTTTTCTTCAATATTTGTATAAAGTACTGAAGTTGGATTAAATAGATTCTTCTTAAAATTCTTCTTTAAATGCTCTTCCTTAAATGCTTCTTCCTTCTTCCTTAAATGCTCTCTCTCTCTTGCTCTCTTACTTTAACTATATCTTAGCTATTGTTTCTCATAAAAGATTAATATGTCTATGTCTTCATTTTACGAGCTTTTTTTTTTTTTATAGTAAAATTTCGTTTTGTTTTAATACTCTTTGGAAATAGTTGAGCATTGTCAGTGATGAATATTAAAATTTTGTAACTTGAATGCTCATTTATTTATTTCTTTTACTAATGTCATCAACCATCATCATGGGAAGCAAATAAAATTTTCTCTCTGTATTTTTATATTTAAAAAAAAATGTCGTTAACATAAGAGACTAAAAGACGTGACTCGTTTTCTAAAGTTTGGTGTTTCAATGTAATTAAGATGATGTTTACTATGCAAGACAGATGATCATCAAATATTGTGTGTTGCCCGAAGAAGAAAAAGAAGAAAAAAAGCAGAAAATATGTTTTATATTTCTTGATCAAATATATAGCTACTGATTTTTCTTTAATGACACTAAACGTAAATGAGTGTGAAACATGATTTGAATATATCGGAAACAACAACAAACTTGAAAATCAAAAATCAAAGCTCCCAATCGTCAGTATTAATCTAATGTCAACTTAGCGTGTCCGATATAAATATATAGCTATTGAACTCATGCCAAACTGTATTTTATTTGAAGATTTTTCTCTGAATCCATTAGTGTGAAAGAGAGTGAATATACCACATGTTACTTGTCTTATAACATCCTGAGACGTAAATACATACAAAATATACCAAATATTCTTAGATTCGGGCGCATTTATTGCATAATCACATAAAAAGAAAACCACATCGACTATTTTTTTATTCTTGTCAATCAAATTATATTGCATGATATATGCGGAGGAGGAAGGGTAAAAACCCTGGAAGGTTTTATGTAAAAATGCACTTTTAATCAAAAAATAAAAAGGAAAAATGTTTATAAGATACCTGATCGTGTGGAAATCTTTTTTCATCCAGCAGCTCACTCTCCATTTTAGATCTGAAGACGACTTTATTTATTTTTATTTTCTTTCGTCTTTATCTAAATTTTATCTAAAGTTTTTTTTTTCTAGAAAAAATTTTGTTATTTCTAAAATATTCTACTTGAACTTTAAACGCACGATAGCGCAGAGATAGTTAAATTTCAGGAAAAAGAAAAAAAGAAGGATAAATATTGAATAGTATCCATTTCTGCACGATATTCGAATTAGATGTATAGTCGAATGAATATATAAAAATAAATAAGTAATTGTACGTGAATCTTTAGTTGTTTTAGAATTAAATTTTTCAATCATTTTTTTTTTCTTCATTTTTTTTTTTTTTTATTTAATAATCATCTTCAAATATATTCCAAGCACGTACATGTGTGTATATCACACAAGAACAAGAAGAGAGAGAAAGTCAAGAAAAAAACTATTTGTGTGTGTTATATCGTGTGCATATATCACAAAAATCGAATTTTATTTCATCACGAAACGTTATAAATGACACGTACACGGATATATATGTATATGTCCAACGGGCAAGATTCTATATACAACAAAGAAAAAGAAGAAGAATGCATGAAATGAAGAGAGAAGAAAAAAAATTAAGAAATTTTTCCTAAAAAAAATATATATTTTGAAGAACTTTTATGGCAAGAGTAAGAAAATAGTCTCACGAATAAAGACAAATAGCGAGAAAAAACGTATTTTTCTTTATTGTCTTGTTCACACATTTTTGTACATTATTTTTTCATATGTTTGAAACTTTATCATTCTCACATACGATTCTATGGTATATTTATAAGACTATTTATTAAACTATATTTTCAATTTTAAATACGGATTCGAATATATATCGACAAATTTGATGAAATATATGGTGTAAAACAGGTAAATCAACGAAATTTTTCTATCATGAAGTTAATACCAGATAACTCTTCGGGTAAACGAGTATGATTCTCATACACTTTTTTTTATCGTCACTTTTCTGCTCAATCCATTCTTTTGCTTCAATAGAAATTTATCCGAGTAACAAAAGAATCCTGATCACATCACTAACTCAATCAGGATGTAGTATAAAAGTTTAAAAAAACTTTTTCATCTTGCTCTCATCACTTTGTGTAAAATCTTTTTCTACCGCTTTTCGTCAAAATTTTATTCATCTTCCTAGCCTAAAAACACAATTATGATTCCTACGAAGGAAGACATTTTGTTGAAAACATATTTTCTCAAAGTCCAAATGAAACTGTTCTTCAAGTCTTTTCTACTGTGAATATGGCTTTAATTATTTATAAATCTCATTAGAAATTTAATTATGTTTTTTCTTCTTAGATTTGATTATTTCATAATTTACGTATCAACAATGTATCGATTTAGTCGTCAACATTGTTATTTATGCGATTGTCCAAGAACACCTTGGGCTATGTTATACGATTTTTCTGAACCAGTTTGTCGAGGATGTTGTAATTATGAAGGTATAGAATGCCATAAAAACATTTGTTTTTGTACATCAATACTTTTTTTTCTTATCAAGGTGCAGAACGTATCGAAACAATTATTGATAATGCTCGTGCATTACGTCGAAGTTCAGTGATGGAAAAACAAACAGTTCATGTACCATTATCTACATCATCTACTGTAACGACTTCAACAAAAGTCGCTAATAATGGTAATCATCATCCAATATCAATGTATCAAAATCAAATTCGTAATATAGCCACTCAATCAAATGGACACCGTTTTTTAGGCGAAACAAATTCTCGTCCAAATCTTGTCATGCCATTATCAAATCGTAATATATCGAAAAATACTCGTCTAGATGATGGATTACATAATACAAATATTTCTCATCATCTTTTACAACATCAGAGTCCTTCTCCTCCCTATCCTGAATCGTCAACAGTCGAGGCAATTATACCAGATGATTTATCAATGCCTGAACTAGTCAAAGATATTTTACGTATATTATCATCATCAATACCATTTGATATACGTTTAAAAAAAGATACAACAATTATTGGACGTATATTCTTTTTTGATTCTTATTTGCGTTCACCTAATGAATATGAACTTCGTACATATGTTGAATATCCTTATACTGTTCATGGTTCAAGTAATGTTTATACAAATTTAACAACTCTATTGAAACAAATGAACTCCAATTCTACTAAAGATAAATCTATAGCATCAACCTCATCACCACCATTACCAACAATAACGACAACAACAAATTCTATTAGTAACAGTCCAACACGTTCAATAACAAATTCTTATCAAGCTTTAGAATATAAAACAAAAGATGATAATTGGCATTTATTAGGTGAACTACTATCAGAACGTGTTCGTACATTTCGTGAACTACCCAATCAAGATATACTTCCTCAATTATATCTCGATCCGAAATATTCAAAACTACCAGTTATTACTGCAACAGCACGTTTAAATAAACGAAAACATTTGTCAACACTGGATTTTGATATTGGATGTATTCATTCAAATAGAACATTAGCTGGTCTCAACTGTTTTGGACCCTCAAAAACGAATGGTTATCGTTTACCTACGAAACGAACGCGATGTGGATCTGATACAGGAACGACAACAAAACAACATAAACAACAAACAACTTCAACTGAGTCAACAGATGGAACAAGCGATGCTACAAGAATAGAATCAACAGTATCAACATTACGTGAAATTTTAAAATGTTCTCAATGTTTACGACCATTAGAGGATACTCATTTTGTCCAGTGTCCATCGTCAATGGCTCATCGATATTGTTTTCCATGTTGTCGTGATTTTATTATAAAACAACCGTCATCATCAAATCAAGAGATATATTGTCCAAGCGGAGAAAAATGTCCGCTACTCGGCTCTCATATACCTTGGGCATTTATGAAATCAGAAATAGCAACAATTCTTGCGTCAACAAAAGCAGCAGTCAAACAAGAAGCAGAAACATGAAGCCTATCGTAATTAAATATATATTTTTTAATCGTTCCATTATAATACAATTAGAAAAATTCTAGCGATTGACTAGATGTGTCAAAATATCCTATTGTCTCCATTCTCGCACAAAACAATCAAATGTTAACAAAATACCAAATGAATTTAATGCAAAATAATTTGGATAAAACAAATCTCGATGTCAGAGACAATTGCTTAACTCTGCAACTGACTGAGATGAAAAATATGAATTATCTTGAGAATGGCAGTGACAACAAGAATAGTTTTCCGAGATTTTATTTAAGAATAAAACATATAGACGATCATATTTATTTAGTCTGTTTATTCATGTGGAATGTTAAAGCAAATAAAAATAAAAATTTATGAATAAATGTTTTATGTTGATTAAATGCATCTGTTGTCGACTGACGGAATACCAATACACTTGTTTCTAAGAAACTATGATGAACACAAGCAAAGAAAGATGTTTTAAACAGAACGATGCAGTGAAAAGAATGTGTAAATTTACGTATGTAGTAGCACCACTTCTCTAAAATACATCATAGCCGTTGTATTATGTTCCAAAACCAAAACAACTTCCATTCAAAGTACAAGTGATCACTTCCACTAATTTAAAAATAAATTGAAACATAGAAAAACAAGTGTTTACCCTTTTCTTTTACTATGGATTATTGTTGGATTCAAAGTTGTATTCTTTTTGAGGACTAACGTATTCCACCCAAATCAATGACGATCACATTTTGCATTTGAGGATGCGTCTATTATTTAGTGTCTGCTAGTACGTTTACCAGCAATTAAAAACAGTTTTTGTTTCAAAGCATTTTACTTTTACTTCTCCATTTGCCCTATATAACAGACTTATATAGGGCAAATGGAGAAGTAAAAGTCTTAGACGACTCGAAGCGGTGCGGTCATGTAATTGATTCTCTCGTCTACCGTTTAGAAATCAAATTTATGGTTGAACATTTTTATTAGTTTGCAACATAATAAAAATCTTATAGACAGTATAATAATAACAGAAAAAATAGTGTTTTTGTATCATATCAATTGAGCTACGACGTTTATGACACAGTTATTTACAAACACACTATATCGGAATCACCAAGAATCGCTAATATGGCTAAATCATAAAGATCAGCTTGTCTCAGACTTACTTAACTCATTTATTTACATCACTTAGATTATTGATATTTTTATTTTTAAATGGATAAAGTATTACTAATTTCTGTTGTCAACTCTTATGCAATACGCACCTTTTATTTATTTTTCATTCAAGTTCATATAGTTGATATGCAAACTGAAATGATATTATCACATTCTCATCATTAAATAAATTGAAAAGCCAAAAGTTGGCTGTCACGAATAATCACCACATTTGTTAGACATCGCTCTCATTCAAAAAGTAGGAAAACATATGAAATCAAGTATCGCAGCCCCCTTTAAAGATTTCTGAATCTTCACTGACTGAATTGTCTGTTAAGTGAGAAAAAGTTTTTTTTTTCATACTTGACAGTGCTTGGAATATCTTGTTGTAATCCAGTAAAAAATCCCATTTTAAATTGATATCTCATAAAGTAATTGCTGTGTTAATTTATTTAATATATCTTTGTGTTATTTGAAATGTCAAATTTCATTTGTGTAATAATTTTGACTTCATCCAAAATAAATGTTTCTTCTAATCTTCAAAATAAAACCGACAATATTCATTGACAAACAATACTTGTAAAAATTAATAAATGTTTACTATCAACCCATACATGTAAATTATCTGGCTGTGGTACAAGATCAGCTATAGATTACGTAAAAGGTGTTTTTCTCATGTTTCTTTCACGGATATGACAAAGTAAATATATCATTAGACAGCCCCTAAAATTCTCTACAGAATGTTGTGTGACACAACAGTAACAGAAAAATCCAACCAAACCGCTTGGAACTCTCAGAAAATACTCCCTTTTCCTTGATGTACATGTCGATAGATTAGAAAAGTAAAAATTAGAGTAAATAAATAGAGTAAAAAAAAGAAAATAAAAAATCTATTTTTCTATTATTGAGATTTTTCATACGTAGCCTACTTTGTAGGAAATTCGACGAGCTTTAAAATGGTATATGACACAAAATGTACTTATTTCTTTACTAGTGTAAGAAATAGTAAAAACGGGAAGGACATCGCATTTTTCTTTGACCTGTTTGCGACACATCCACACATAATGCGACACAATTTTTTTAGAGTGTTGTCGCCTTATTGACGAAGAATTATTCGGGTTTTAGTTACTAAAAATGCGTGAAAACGACTTAAAATCGACTGATAATGCTTTTCTACTACTCACAGAATCATATTTAGGCAAAAAAATAAAGTGGGGCGATTGTCACCCCTCCTTTTTGCCGTAATCAGCCACTTCTGCACATCTTTTCTGATTTCAAAAAACCTTGAGTAGTTTCTACTTTTCGAACAAACGGATTTTTGTCTCTATTTGAGCTATACATAGTTCTAAAGAAAATTTAGTGAATAGTTGTATACATTTAAATAAATTTTTCTTCCGTTCAAAGTAATTAATTCAGAATTGAATATCTAATCTAGTTTTGTAGATTGGATTAGATAGAGTTTGTGTACGCAACTACTAGTATCAGAGTATAAGTATTTATCTTCCCTTTTTTTGGAAGTTCTTTGTTTATTTTTAATATACTAGCACATTGTTTTCCTAATCGATCAGTAGTAATTTAAAAGACTAGTGATATTAATAACAACTTTAAATTCGTATCAAATATGTTTCATTTGATAGATATGACGTATAATACCTTACACGCACAGATTTAGAGATTGTATTGATTTTTTTAATGTGTTCTCTACTACTAAGTCAAACAACTACTAGTGGAGTGTATATCTAGCTTCAATTTCTTTTATTTATTGTCAAAATAGAATATTCATTATACAATGCAAAATGCTAGCATATTTTATAACACTATAGACTGATATTATTCTCTATTGTGGAATGGCATGCCATTTTTTAGAAGCCGGGCTTAGCTGTATGTAGATCAAGATTTAGAACAAAACTGAAAAAATTTCTTTTATCCCAGAATGGCAGTCCACCATTTTAGAGTGGCATTCCACCATTCCAGAAATTTTGCACCCATTCCGGAATGTGCTTTTTACCCTTTGATCTAAATTGTTTTATTGTGCTGTCGAAGGCAAGAATATCAAGATGATCGATCATAATCGTTACAAAAAGGAACAAATGTATTCCTGTTAACGAATATTCATATAAAATCATTTCATTTCAACGCGAAATTCGAGTCACAAGTCCACTTTTTCTAGGTTAAACTGTACTATATATATGGAGAGCTAATTTGTGCAATCAGTGGCTGTACAAATTTTTACACTCGCTACCATTCAATAGGGTATCGCTAATCGCTGTGCAAATTTAAAGAAAGGATTTTCGTCGATTTTGGTGATGATGACATACTCGAAACAGAACATTTTTCGAACTTTGGATGAAACTCTTTCATGAGAGAAATTTTTTTTTCCTGAATCTAAATAACAAACCATGGTATATTCTAACGTCGGTAGAAGTAACAATGGCCATGTATCAGAGCTCTTCTGATTTTTTCATCGTTTAAAAACATTCTCTAAAACGTATGAATTTGTTAGATTAAAACTTTCTATATTACTTTCTAAATAGGGGTAACAAAAAACAGAATATTACATGCTTATGCTTTATTACAAAAATAAAACTTGGCGTCGGCGTGTTAGAAAATCAGGCGAACTAGAAAAATGAATTTGGTATACGTTTCATCGAATAAGTCTAAAGCGAAAACAATAAGATATAGTAAAAGGTTTATTTATTTAAAAAATGAAGAAATTACGCTATAAATCCAAGAGAAAAAAACGCTGTTTATCCAGGGACTATACACAGTTGTAATCTACACTAGTAATCTGGGTATAAGTATATTGATTATGAAAGAGCAGGGAAAAAATATGTTTATTCTGGTTTTTGAACATCCAAATATTTTGAGCCCGGAAAATCTTCATGTCCAATTAGATGATAGGGAGCTCGATATCTTGCACCAGCATTCTTTTCAGTAACAGTAAGTACATAAAAGGTTGCTAATGAGATTGAAGCAATACCAGCAATTAACACTTGATTATAACGACTTTGTTTTTTAGCGTTTGCTTCAGCCCAACTACCCTGTGGTTTTGGTAACCAGTCATAAGTTGACTTGTTCTTCCACATTCGTTCGTATAAAACTTGATGGCGATCAACATGTCCATCGTGTCCATGTCCATGTGCTGTATCAACTTCTCCATAGCCTTTTGTACGACGACATAGCATTAATGGAACACTTTTTGAACATAAATTCGTCGCTTTCATCATATTGGAAAGCATTGTATAGCTCTCTTTTAACAGTAATTATCTAGAAAGTAGATAAATTACGATTGATGAATGAATAAGTCGAAACGTAAAAGTGAATACAAAGCAACAAAGCAAAAGTCTTTGGTAAATATTCAGTTTCAAAATAAAACTCTTTTTCTGGGAGTAAACAAAAAAAAGATTTATACTACATTATCGATTTCTATTTCTTCGATTTGACTTCACCCATTTTTTCATTATTTCGTATTTTTGCTATAGTCTGTATGCTGTATGTAGACTACTGAAAAACAGTCCTTTATTTACTTCGTGGACTCTTATTGCCAGAGCTGCAGAATCCGCCTGTTTCCTCTGGTCGTCGGGGGAAAACTTATTGATTTAGGGAAATTTTTTAGAGATACATTTACGTGTAAGTACTTGTCCAAACACTTGACTGAGTCAATGCAAGTAAATTTACTAGGAATACTTCGAATGTCGTTTTGACTTCATTTCTTCCTTCTCATCAGAGAAGTGCCGAACCAGTGCCGCATGGTTATGGCATACCAGTGCAGTACTGGAGGGTGTTTCATCAAAATTCTTTTAATTCAAAGTCGAGCACTTAAGAATTTTTATGAAACACCCTCCTGGGCATCAGTGCTGCAAAATTAAGAAAATGCAACTATAATAAAGAATTGACTAAATAAGTGTCAGTGCGGCACTTTTTTCCAATAAATATACCGGTCTTGCCTGACACAGATGCCACTTGCTGGGCACGGATGCCAGGCAGTGCTAAAGACCAATGGCATGCCATGCGCACCGGTGTGCAGTGTTTCTAACAGAATTTATCCGCTGAGCACGAGTACGCTCTGTTTTTGAAACCATCCGTTGTTTTTCGCAAAGTCTACACGTTTGAAATCTAAAAAGACTCACTAGTTAAAAAAGTTTTTATTTTCTCTTAAATATAAAAAAAATTCTATCAGAAAACCAAGCGTAGCGATAACATTGCTATCGCTGTTTGCGATAAGCGTACACTGTGCACTCTGCTTTTCTCAGCAAAGCGTAAAACAGAGCGTATTTTTAAATTCCGAAGCGTATGTACGCTTTAATACAGTGAGTACGCTTTGCTATTAGAAACACTGCCGTACCAGAATATTTTCTGTAGGGTCGTCGATGTAGTTGGCTGAAGCGAATCAAGTGATGATACTTGGTTAATACTTAGACAAGACCTTGGACAGTAAAAACACTTACTGTATTTTTGTTCAACATGAAAAACGCGTAACTCTGCTACCGGAATCTCTGTGCATTACCGTTTTTTCTCTTTTCGTCTATCCTATAATTTTCGGAAAGAATATCGTAGAATCCTGGAAAGCGTCTTATTTTGTAGAATGAAGTGCGTTCTTCAAAATCCACCACTAACTCAGTTCAAAATAATTGACGCTTTTTATGCTGTACTTAAAATACGAAGAGCCCCAAAAACATTGTTGTTTGTTTTTAGGGCTTTTAGTATTTCGATTGTAACCGAAAAGTCGTCAATTATTTCGAATTGAGCTGGTAGTGGATTTTGAAGAACGCACTTCATTCTACAAAACAAGACGCTTTCCAGGATTCTACGATATTCTTTCCGAAAATTATAGGATAGACGAAAAGAGAAAAAACGGTAACGGACAGAGATTCCGGTAGCAAAGTTACGCGTTTTTCATGTCAAGTACTTCCCAAGACTCGGCAAGTAATCAAGTGCTTGTTTGCATCAAGTACATTCCCTAGTGTTCAGTGCCTTCTTATCCTATGTGCTAATTGTGCTATAGCACAGGGGCCCGGCTGACTCAGGGACCCAATCGAACGGCTTAAGCCTTGCATTTTGTTATTATTAAAAAAATACAAATTGATGTGTTGAAAACGTTAATGATCAGCACAGGGGCCACAAATTTTTTAAAACGGCTCTGCTAGTGTTGGAAAAACGTAACAATCACACAATTGTTTGAATGAAAGTTCTAATGCGTTACTGTGGTCTTTCAGGCTTAAATTTTGAGCACTAGATATTTTGGCCCTCTTTCCAGCTAGTTTACACACTACTACCATTGAGATCAGATATTGACCTTCATCCAGAACACTCGTTAGGAGCGACATGTTCCTCCTTCGACAACACGTTCAAGACATTTTTATCTACTTTTTCTAATAAGAAATTATACTTTCTTACTTGCTGTTTAAGATATTATAATTGACACTATATGAATGGTCATCTGATAAAGCGTGGATAATGATAACTGGATCGTCGTAATCTTGTCTTTTCTTTTTCCGAGGAAAAAAACAAAAAAGAAACGTTGATAAATGATAGCATGTGACGAAAATGAATGAAAGTAAAAGCAGAAAATCAGGGGAAAGGAAAAGTCATTAAATAGTATAATGAGTCAAGTCAGCAAGTGCTGAC